GAGTTCTCTTCTATTCTCTTCTTCCTTCTTCATACGTGAAGGCTTGACTCAAATGTGAGTTTGTTTGTTTGTTGATTAATTATTGATTTTAAGGTTGGGCTATGATCATTAGATGATAATTAAGCTTAAGGAAAGCTTAATTTGTTCTAAAACAACAAGATGAAAGATATAGAAGAAATTAAAGAGAAGAAGTTTTTAGATGAATTTCTGGAAAAGAGTTGATAAGTTGATAAATTTGACTTGTCATCAACTTAATTAAGGGATATGAAGTGATGGAATTGAATTTAGAACAAGTAGAAAATTTAGTATGATTCTTGGATTTCATATGGAAGATAGAATTTTGAGTTTAAAGAAGTGATTATGGAGTAGAAATGAGTTTAAGTATGTATATGAAAGTTAGGAATATTAAAGGAGGTGAAAGATGAAGAGTTAAGCTGAAAGAGAGTGGATTTCGTGCTTAAAATGTAAATTCTGGGTTGTGTGCATCGATGCATCTTGAATGTGTATCGATGCACTCTCAAATATTGAACATCGAATGTCAATAGTGCATCGATACATAAGGAGTACATCGATGCACCCCGTTTAAAATACAAATATCGAATGAGATTTGTGTACCTATGCACAGGTAGTGCATCGGTGCACCCGTTAAGGAATGCATCGATGCACCCGTTAAGGAATGCATCCATACATTGTAGAGTGCATCGATGCATGCCTTCATTAAAAGATGAAATTAGCTTTTCTCTTAGTCTAAGAAGTGATAGATTATAGTATATCAATTGGATACTGATAGTATAAATATATGATTGTGTAGATATTGATAGAGAGAAAGTTCCGGAATGATTGAAAGATTAGAATTGATCCAGAAGAGAAAGAAAGCCATAGGAGTGATTGATAGCAAGTAAGGCCAAGGTGAGTGCATATTAGATAGTATATAATATTTAATGGAAATAAGACTTGCGACAAGTCTATTTCCTATAATATTATGTATGGATTCATGAACATGAGCATATGTTTGTTATGAGTTATATGTTATTGTATGTGTGATATGATTTGTATGAATATATGTTAGTGTGATAAAACATAGGAATTGATATAAGTGACATATATGTCACATAAGCTATATGATATATATATGAACATAAGTAAACAAGACATGACATATGTGCTTACATAAGAACATGAGAAATAATATAAACAATGTGATAAAGATTATAAGAGTTATATGAAATTGAATTAAATAAATAGAATAATCTAGTATTTAAATATTGTGAGATAAGTAATATAATTCATATGTTATTGTAAAGGTTAGTGTAATAAATCATGTAAGTTGGTAAAAGGGAAATGAGATAAGATAAGTAGCAATTACCTATAAGATTTAAATAAGATTCAAATAAGATTATTTGAATATGTAACGTAAACTATATATATAGGTGACTTAGATATTATACAATTTAAGCATGAAATGAACATAAGATATAGTCAGGTGAAATTATTATGTGATATGAGTATATGAATATGTTAGATAAGTAATAGAGGGAGGTCGATATGTTAAATGAACTATGACCTAAAAATGTTAGGTTTTTATATTATATGAAGTATAGTACCAAAGTACTTGAAATCACGTGAGGATGTTATAGGAATTAGAAATATAAATTATATGGCATTAATGTATCAATTATAGGAAAATGAGTACATAATATTGTAATAAATTATAGAAATTGGTGTAATGAAATTATATGAATAAGTGAAAGAGCAAAATAAGTTAAGCGACATTAACCTAAACTATATTATGAATTAGTGGTATAAGAATATGATATAAAATATGCAATAAGAATCTATGTGTTAAATGATAAATATGAACTTATTAGAACAAAAGATAAGATATGTGACTATGAGTATTGAATATGTATCTATATGATATAACCTATAAGATCATATGAAATATTATATGACTATGTGATCATATGAAAAAGAATATAAGTATATGCAAGTTATATAGAAATGAGTTGTGTAACCATGCCTGATATGTATTACATGTATGTGAACATAAGAGAATAAAACATAAATTATATGAAAATATATGATTCATATGATGTGACCTATGTGAACATATGAGAAAGTGTATAAGTTAAATGTATTACATGAACTACGTGATTACATGTATATGTGAATGAAGCTACGAGTTTATATGAATATGTGATATGTTTACATGAATATGAAAAAAGATATAAAAGATAATGCCTATGATATGTGTCATGAGAGCTAGGGGTATAGTTGGCATGCCAAGAGTTGAGGGTCTACGCGGTCCTTCGGGACATATATGTATCCTTTGGAACATCTATGAGGTCTTTTGAGACACATACTTGGTCATTGGAATATGTATATGGATCTAAAGGAATTTTCTATGTGGTCCTTACAGACATCTTATATGGCACTTCAGTGCATTTCTACGCGGCACTACGGTGCAATTCTACGTGGCACTTCGGTGCATTTATACGAGTTGTGGTGACAGCATTAGTGCACAACCTCTATAGACTCACATATCTATAGTTCTCACATATGTACATGGGCTAACAAAGAGATAACAATAAATATATCACATGTAATGTATATTCTTTTGTGAGATGAATGATGTTATATGATTTATATGATGATGTGTGTATTGATTGGTTAAATGAATCATATGTTGATTAAAAGAATATATATAAATGATAAAAATATTGATAGTGAAATAAGGTTAGAGATGAAATTAGGGTGTGATATGTATATGTGTATATTACATTGCATATAATGTGGTATTGTTTCGATGTAGCGTCATGAGAGGATATGTTCATACATGTTTATATAGTTAGAGTTCTTTTATAAGTTTAATGCCTCACTAAGTCATAGACTTGCGTGTGAGTGTTTCACACGTAGGTTCTGAAAAGATTAAGGAGCTGAGAGGAGCAAGACATGTCAGTTCTCCTTACCGAAGATCAGATCAGAAAAGAATTAATAGTATGTATTTTTGTAATACAAATTATGGTTGGCATGTAAATAAAGATTTAAATTCGATATGCTCTAATTGAGTTTTTGTAAACTCATAGGATTATAATTTATTCAAATTAGTCAGTTGTATTCAGAAAAAGTTTTAAAATTATTCACTATTTTGTACAAGTAAAGGTTTTGAAAAGTCAATGTGACACCTCGTACTCATATCCGGGTAGAGTACGGGTTGGGGTGTTACATGGACCATCAGAAAACTAATGAAAATAAAGAGTGAAGCCTTTTCAATTTTAGCTATTGGTGCCACGAATACTAAAGAACTATAGGAAAATATAAGAGTTCATAGAGATAAGGTTTACTGGCAAAAGGTGATTTGGTTTCCACTTCACATCCCAAAGCTAAGCATTATCTCATGGATGGCAATTCTGGATCGTCTTCCTACTCGAGATAGGCTTATTAGAATGGGTATTGCGTCTGAAAGTCTTTGTATTATGTGCAATGAGGACCATGAATCTAGAAATCATTTGTTTGTTGACTGTATTTATTCTACTTCACTATGGAATTCTATTATGAATCTATCTAGCATGAGAGATACTCACATGTCTCGGGATTCAAGGCTTCAATGGGCTACTCAAACATGGAAGGGCAAGTCTCTACTTTCTACTGTAATGCGGATCGCCTGGACTACTTTCATATACTTCATTTGGGATGAGAGAAACAGAAGAATTTTCAATAGAGGAACAAGAACAGCAGACCAACTACTCAAGGCTATAAAGGAGTTTGTTCGAATCAAAATCAGTGACAAGGGGTTTAATAGACTAGACTATGTTAATTCTAGACTTTGTAATTACTGGGGTATAGACTAACTTCTTGTAAATATGTGTTTATACTCCCAATTGGGATGACAGTTATATGATGAACCATTTCTATTTGGGTATTAAAATTCTACTTATCCAAAAAAAAATATTTGGCACGTTAATTTAATCCTTTTAAGTTTTAACATGTGTTTTTTAAAGAATTAGAATGCGAACGAACTTTAAGTTAAAACGAATAAATTTAAATAAAATTCGTAGGATGGGAGGGAATTAGATAATACTAGTTTTAACTGATGATTTCTTAAAGATGACATTTAACTCACACGAGGGGATAATCAACTACTGTGTATGAAATAGCTATAAACCATGATTAGTAGTCAAAGTTTGATGTAAAAAAAGAACAAATAGTTTTCACCCTGACAGGATTGAAAAAGACCCTGCACCTACTGCATGCATGGCCGTGGGATGTGGAAAAAGAACACATCTTTTTAGGGTAAAAGAAAGTATTGAAGTTGAAATGAATTAGATTCCCACTCAAGTAGTCAAAGAAAGGAGCATAGTTAGGTTCATGTTTGATTTGATTTGATATCTTAATGTAAAGTACAACTAAACATGTTTACCAATTAATAGCGCATCTCTGCTTATCTCAACGGTAGGGCAATTTCAGGGTTACCCATGTAATTGAAATATGACCATTGGCTAGCCTTGAGTTGGGGCATGGCGTTGGTTTGAATGAGGGGTAATTTTGAATTTCCATGGTTTCCTTAAAGAGAAAGCTTGGGGAACATTTGGTCAAAAATAAAAAAAAATTAGGTGGTGCTGAAACAAATGAGGCAACACAACGGATAAACATTCAACAAGAAAACAAACTGCGTTATTAATGTATACAATCTTCTTCTCAATTTTCGAGTTATGATATATTATTATTAATATATCAAATAATTATTTTAAATAAAATATGTAACAAATATAAGTTCGGTAAAGAGAAAGATGTGAATAGTATAGTCATTTGTTTTCTAAGAGAAAAGAACTCATGTTTCACCAATTCAATCTCCTTAGCTTTTGGCAAAATGAACAAACAATCGTATTCCAATTCAAATCCTAGAAAAATACAACTCTTTCTCAACAAAATATTGTAGCAAATGAGTTTGGATTAAAGAATTACAATGAACCCAAACGGCATTGAAAAGAATTTCACTGTATGTGGGATTTTTTTTTTGTACAAAATAATATAATATTGTTCAAGCTTTCGAAGGAAAAAAAATGATATTGTTCAAACGTAAATACAGGTGGCTTCTTTAGCCACTGATTTTACCAAATGCTGGTCTTCTCGAAACAAGCAAGACTACATACTTAAAAGATACAGAATTTGGGATAGAAAATGTCACCAAATTTTTTGGAAGCCAACTCATCGAATAAGTCTTGTACTGCACCACATGAAATGCTTAAAACTCGAGGTTACTCATAGTTGTAGCAACCTTGGAGCACAAGATGCTTAAAGGCAGGCAGAGTAGAAGTGGAAATCCTCACCCATCCAGTGGAATGGCAGATTCAAGCCTCACACGATTCAGTCGAACACTGCCTAGTATGTACTCGGGCAATTCTTCCTCCACGTTTGCCTGCGGCAGGAGAAAGTATAAGTATCCAGGCTTAAGATGTGGATTGTTAAGGGGACAATTCAAACTTACAATGCACTTTAAATCTATGTTACTTGAGTGTGAGTGTCGGATATGGATGTATAGGACATGGGTATAGATAGACTTTTCTAAAGTTTTCCATGTATTGGAGGATGCTTAGAGGTTAATATTCCCATAGTCGTGTGTCGGACACGGGTACCTCAAGAAAATTAGAGTCCGAGAGACTTTAAATAGCTACTCTTCATTACTATAGGACTGCCTTTTGTGTTTTTCTTTTTTGTTCCCAGAACACAATCTTGAATATTGAGAAGAGAACATTCAACAGATAGTTCTCAATCATGCCCAAAAGTTTCCCAGCTAATTCCGCATACAATTCACTTGACATTGCATGATAATAACCGTTAAAAGTCCCTACCATTAACTAGCTCAGTTCTAATGCAAAACCAGACCCGCATTTTAGAAGACCGTAATTACTCAGATGAACAGTACAACAGGGCACAAACCTCCATTAGAATTGCAAGATCTACTACTAAACTAGTGACATATCCAAGGACAAGGCCAATAACACTTCTTGCTACTGATGATGACCCGATGTCCACGTCAATCTGCATAATGGAAGATTCAGCAACAGTTGGGATCAGAAAGACCTCATCTAACAAATCAATAAAACTTCATACCAGTCTAGAATTGCTTGTCAACTTTGAAAATTACAAGAAGAGGCATTAATAACTTAAATATGTTAAAGATCATTGAAGCATATATCACTGCCGTGGAACTAAAATTATAGAGATATCAAAAGACTTTTGATCCTGATAATATGTGGGCTTCAAAGATTGCAATAAATTCCTTGACTTGGTTTTCCGGTATAAGGAATAAAACAGATTCAAGCTCCCACTTGATCCCATAATGCATGCTTAGATAAACCATGAAATTCTCTGTTTTCGTATATTTGTAGTTTCTGGGCAAAGTGCATCAATATCATACCTAAAATAAATTGTAGATTCAACAATACTAGCTTGCCTACCGAGGCAAAGAAAATAGAAAAAAAATCTTAGATTGCATTACCTCCAAAAATTGTCTTGCCTGAAATATTTGCAAGCAACAGCTTTCCCAAGTAGGCAAGCTTTTGTTCCAACAGCACGCTTGACCATCCAATACCCCTGTGTGCATTTAGCAACAACTAAGCTTTTCACTGGCATTAGAACAGTAGATAAAAACCAGTTGATATGTTTACAATATAACATTCCATACCTCAACAATGCTTGGTATCAGTTTAAATCTTGCATCACGAAATGCATCTGTTCCTTCCACAAACTTTTCCAGCAAAGAATCTTTATTCACAGGCCTGTCAGCAGCATAGTAGAGGACCAAACTATAGTTCGGTTTTGCAGGAATCTGAAAGAAAGGCACCAAAACATATATCCTCTTTGAAAGACCAAAGTAAAAGTTGTTGCAAAGTGAAAACTAATTCCATAAAAACTCTCCCCCCCTGCAATTATTCCCGTTACTAACCACCAAAGTCGGTATTCTTCGGAGAAAAGTAGAAACTGGAAGTGAATTTAAGGTCAGAGCATGATCTTCATTGACCATCGACAACAACAAAATTTGTTCAAAATTTACAACTTTAGTCTTCATATCATCCACTATATACATGCGTATTTCAGGATTAGAATTTCTTTCTATGATCACATCATTTTGTGTTCAGAAATAAAACATTACCATTAATGATCTCAAAACTATATGTCCCAAGCAAGCATCTTTCAGCTTTTAATAGTAAGGCTTCTGCCGGCTTAAGCTTTTAAAAAGGAAAACAATTTTCATAACCAACTTTCTGCAACTGTAAAAATTTCCAGTCTCTGACAGGTTTGTTCAAAAAACACGTGCTAATAAAGTAGGTAGAAATTCGTCCACATGCGTACCTCGAGATTAATCACAAGGACAAACGGAAGTTTTTTCCCGGCATCAGACTGAAAATGAAAAATAGCAGTTAGGTCTCATAAAGCTGTTTTTCAATCAGGCAAAATAACGCAGAATGCCTCCAATATTCTCGAATTAGTCTCATGATACACAAAAGATGTTTGCAGTTGAGATGAGGATGTTGCAATGGCTGTGTGAGTATACCAGAAAAGACCGGACAAGAAACAGGGGAAAATGGGGTTACTGATTTCAAGGACAAGGGGAGGGAGATGTGCTGAAATTTGGTAAGGGCCTTGTTTCTTATTGTTAGACAGAGAAATATAAATGGTTTGAGAAAATAGGAATTGAAAAAACTAAATACCGTCTACATCACCAGAAAAAAACTTTGAAACTTTTAGTTGTTTCTTATTGTTAGACAAAAAAACATAAATGGTTTGAGAAAATAGAAATTGAAGAAACTACACACTATTGAGATCACCGTAAAAACTCAAGACTTCGAAACTTTCCATTGTAGGTTCAATGGTTGATTCATCAGTTTAAAATGCTAATCAAGTTAGGAAAAATTAATAAAAACTCAACTGAATGCATCTTTTAATTCCAGATCAGAACTGTCATAAAGTAAATGTACAGAGAAAAAAAAACAAGCATACAAATTGACTTCCTGCTACATAAGCAAGGCTAAAGATGATTTTCTAGGAATAATAGTACATATGATAAGCAAAACCAAGAAAATACATTAGATTTTGCATATAATATATATAAAAGAGTATTCTTTTAGCATAAGAATGCTTTGGCATAGCATGAAAAATTGTGAAACCTGGAAAGCCACTAGTTCATCTTATAGATTTTAGCACTAAAAAGTTCAGAATGTAAAATGCACATATCGAGAAGGATTCCATAAACTTATAGTAGTTTTACTAATCTACGCAACGATTGCTGAAAGTGTTTGAAAAAAAATAAAAACCAAAAGAATCCAATCAAAGCAGCAAATTTGCTATGAATGAAGCAACTTTCACATGACTTTCATACACACTCCACACTTGAAAGGAAATGGGAACAAAGTATGAAACCTAGTACAATACCTGAACTTGAGACTTTGGATGCAGTGCAATTTTATCTGTGGCTTTATCGACTTTGAACCAGTCAACAGCTATGAGTTTGAGAAGGGGTTCTCCACCAGTTATCTGCAAAAAAGCTTGTGGGTTACTCAATTGATTCCTTGCAGAATATCGGCAAGAACAAGGAATGCGAAGCAAAAATTACAGATATACTAAAAAAACATAGGAAGAGGATGTCAACTATAAAAGGGAAATTTTCATCACAGGAAAAACCATGCTTCCTCGGTTTTTATATTTGAACCTGTTGTTGTGCAAGCTGAAAACTCATTAAGCAAGTGCAGTTAAAAGCATCGGAAAAATCATTCAAAATTTAAAAATATTATAAAAGTTTTTTTCATTTTGATGCTGGAGTTTCAGTTTTTCAATCACAGTATTTGAAGCTATAGTTGTCCCACTAATGCATGCAAACATAAAGTCAATTTCAGTTAATTAATCAATTTTATAAACCAGACCTGGCAAGATTAGGTAATGAAACTGCATCAAACGAATTGCTAACAGAATTAATAACTGGCCAACAAAAGCATATGTATCAATAGATACACCAAGCAGACAACAGCTGTCATTCCAATTTGTATCTCTTTTTCCATTATAATAAGCCAATTTAATTTCATGCTTTGATGATATAAGATGATGAGAAGAGTGCACTCGGAACAAATAAAACAATGAAAAGGAAAATCTCACCTTGGCACTATTTTTTAAGTAAGTCTTTCCTCTAATCATAAACCCCGCGCCACCAGGAGAAGTCCAACAATTTGTATCAGCATCATCCTTTCCCTTGTGGAGGGAACCATTGAATTGACTTGCATCAACATGGATAGGGGGTACGCTGGGATCTAGTTCCTTATTTGCATCTTGAGTTGCATCTGCAGTGACGTAAACAAAAACAAAATGAACAAAGAATGCATAAATATTAAAATATATATATTTCCTGGATAAAGTCTTTACACTTTTACAAATTAAAGTAAAAGCAGGTTAATCTTTCCAAATATAGATTTAATAAAAGAAATAACCTAAAGTTTGCTTCAAAGATGAGCTTGAGAGGGCCGAAGATGCATGCTTCTCCTTAACTGGCTTTTCCTGCTAAAGTTGAGAGCTAATCATCGACAATAGAATTTTTCAAGAAAACGATTAACAAGTAGGTTACATCAATTCACAAATAGAGCAATAAATTTTAAGTCTTCTTTTGGAGGAGAGGAAGGCACTTGTGTTTTTCAATGAGGTGAAGAGGAAAGGATACCTCCTTTTCTGGTTCATCATCACTCTCTTCGTCTTCTGTGGTTGAAGATGAGGCACCGGAAATTGCATCATAGAATTCATCTGGCAGCTCGCCATCAGGATGTTTTGAATGCCCACCCATGGAGGAAGATTCACATTTGAGTGATGGATTTGCACCGATATATTCCTTTAAACCTGAAACACATTAACAAGAAAACATAACTGACACTGCAGTGATTGTGGCATAAAGTAAATAATATCAGCAAGAGAAGCCTGCAGGTTTTGATTCGGCTTTAAATATTTCTTGAAAATGTCATGTATGTTCTCATTGTTACAAACGTCTCAGTCTGTATGAAATATGTGGAAGTACTCCTTTATATTGACACTGTCAGAAACTCAAACAATGTATATTCAGCATAAACCTAAAAGTGGCTGAGACAAAATTAATCCTGTCCAATAGAATCTATCACTGCCGAGGTAAACGAAATAGGTCCATCCTGCCTTGAGCATGAAAGTCCTGAGTATATGATCATATGAAAGAGAAGATACAGATGTTGGATATCAGTGAAGTTAGGTTGTTTCAGCAGATCAAGGAAACATTACTGACATGACAAAATGAAGTGACTGGCACATATGATATCAATGACAAAACCCTGCAGGTTTTGATCCAGTTTAAATATTTCCTGAAAAGTAGGCATTTATTTTCTTATTGTTGCTAGTATCTGTGTCTGTGTGAAATCTGAGGACGGGAAAGTTCTATATTCTAGTCACATTCTCAGAAAATCAAGAAATGTAAACCCAGAATAAACCTGAAAGTGGCTGAGAAAAAAATCAATCCTGTCCGAAAGAACCTATTACTGCCAGTGCAAAGATAAATAAAAGAGGTCTATCATCCCTTGATCATGAAAGTCCTATGGATAGGAAAGGACAGCAGTGCATTTTGGAGATCAGTGAAGTTAATTTGTCTTAGTTCATCAAGTCTCTAATAAGCACAAAATATATGAAATCCCACCTATCTAACAGGGATACCAGCTCTGATTTTCTGAGACATTAACTGTTAGCATCAGATCAAAAGACAGATAATAAAGACTTCATTAGATAACTCAACCTGCCACTTGGGATAATAATGCATACGGAATGGTCTTTTCAAACTTTGAGTAGTTATTTTTCTTCCATTTACCCCATCCAGCATTATGAATCTCCAACATATGTGTTACAAGGCATTTTTCAGTGTTTGAACCGTCGGGTCCATTTAAACTTCTAACCTCCCAAGTAGATGCTGCAATCCATGGAAATAAACATGCAAATTATGAACGGATATAAAAAGTATTTATATCAAAAGGTCCCATAAGAAACATATGAAATCGTTTAGTGACAATCACTACCGTATGAAAAATTAAAGTTCCACAGAATGGAAACTTGTCCTCTAAAAGCAGAGCATTTGCTACAACTAGAGAATATAGAAATACTTACGATCAACTCCCTTAAAAAAAATTGAAGTACCTAGGGAACGTGTGGAGTCTACGGAAGAAATATAGTGGCATTGCCTCTTATGTTAAAGGTCCAATGCATTCAAGCTATAGATGTTATAAATGCTTCAGACGAAAATGCTTATTCCAACTAGCAGTATAGATCCTTACGTTTAATTGTTGTACGTTGGTATCCATTTCTTGGAGGACGCTTCTTATGTACAGCAGGAAACTGCAAAATTGCTGGCGATAAATACTTGTCAAATGTGAGTGAAATGGAGGCAAGAAAAATGTTAGTTTCCATATAAATAAATTAAAATTATTATTTGCAGGTTCTCTTACTATATGCTCCATCCTGCCCTTGAAACCATTGCCTAGAGAAGACAAAATCTTTCTTGGATTGCCATCTACAAACATGTAACATGAAAAGTGAATGCAGGACAATGACAAAAAAAAGACATACTCGATCTAATTTAACTAGCTGATGTCTGACTGAGGAACCTAATACTGTTCAACTTTTAATTATCCTTCCAATGAGAAAAACAAATTACGAGGATACATCGACCTCTAATTATCCGTTTAATGAGAATAATTACGAGGAGAAATTAAAGCAAAGTGAAAATTTTGGAAGTGCACGATGAAATCCACTTGATATCTTTTACGATATATGCACTACACATTGTCGGGGAATGGTTCCTCAAAGAGTACAAGTAATCCGTTCTGAAAAACATACCGAGTAAGATATTTAGGATCATATGTTCCATAGACAACATCATAATTTCCATCATAAGAATCTACTAGCTCCAAGTCACCTGTCAGCATATCCCACCTGTGAAGATAGTTAGTAGGGAAACCAAACTTCCATTACTAGGAAATATGAAATCATGGAACATAGGCGGAACAACTTACTCGTATCTCCTTTGGCGGTCCGTGTTTAAGATTACTTCTAGAACAGTATCTACACTTGCATCTACAAGAGCGACAGCCTTTACAAGAGAAGCTTTTCCACTCTACAGATAATTTAAAGAACATTTAGGGAAGAGCTTGAGTAATTCATCTGATGAAGAGAAATTGCAAAACTTTGATGCTGTTAGGTAATTTGAGGAAAATTGACTTCTGTAATAATTTAAGGTGAAAGAAAGCTGCAGGGGCACAGGATTTAGATATTTTAAATATTTCTGTACATATATTTGACAGCAAAGAGAACGAGATACGGCAAAAGTTCCAGTTACATGGAAAATTCTATCATTATGCTTGTCCTATATTTAAAAAAAATAAAAAAAGGAAAGAAACAACAAGTATAATGGCATAAATACCTTTGAATCAGACACATCCTCAAGGATTCTAACACCTGAAACCAAAGTGAACAATTATTTGGTTATATAACCTTTTCCATTAGGACCATTCTGTTCATATTGAGAGACTCTTAACATACCTTTACAAACAATGAATTCTTTCATTTACTTAACTTAAAGAGAGGAAAATTTCAAATCTTATTCTGACATGCTCAGAAACCGATGCATGATAAAGCTAGAGATATTCTGACAAAAAGGATTGCTTAAAGGATGGATTTGAGTCTAATCAACCATTCCAAGTTTTCCAGTTATGCATGGATTATTGTCTGTGTTGCTTTTATTTATCATTTCTCCAAGCTAAAAAGTTCAATTCCAGTGGTACTCTTTATGCTTTTTTAGCTTGCCATTTTCTTTTGGATTAATCCATTTCATTTACCACCGCCCCCCCCCCAAAAAAAAATAAAAGTATAAGAAGTATACCATTGATCGTACGAACACATTTCCATTCATGTGCTTCAATTGCATCTCCAAACTCCCCTTCAAAGTCCCCAAATGATCCACTATTACCCAAGCTTGAGCCTTGCCGCGAAAGCATATCTGGACCACCTATGAACAGCAGAAATAAAAGAAAATTGTAAATCTTATATGCACTATAAACTAATCACAGTAAGTTGAGAAATCATTACTATGTACTATTATAATCATAAAGGTTATATATTAAAATAAATAGAAAGAACAAGTGGAAAAATGATTTTGGAAAGGAAAGGCCCTTCATATAAGTTCATTCCTTAATTTAAATTCAAATATCCCAACACTTTTTTTTCTTAAAAGTAACATAATTTTTTTGGATTACTCAAAATTATCAAATTTCTCCAAAAGGTATGTTCAAGATTTTCGATGTCACAAAGTTAAGTTTCTCATAGCTATCCAATTGACTAGGAATACCCATGAAGTGTTAACTTACTATAATTCAACATTACTTTTATTGGTAATAGCGGAAAGGTTCTTGCAGTCAATTGCATTTCAAATGCTTTTCATAATTATGCCACAAAGTGGACACAAAATAATATTCTTTGAAAATTAAGAATTTCGAAGAACTGACGAACCAAACTTCTCCTTTAGAACCTTAAAAGAAGAAATGACCAAAACCATAATGAAGATAAATTCCAATTCACCTTGGCCAATTCTTATAAGCTTTTTTAATCCAGATGCATATCGCCTTACTCGAGGTCGATGGCCTTCCAAATCAATGCTTCAGAAAAAAATGAGATATATATATTTGGATCAGGAAAGAAGGAAATGTCGATAAAACAAAGACAGGCATGTAGAGATCAACTTGATTTTGTGACGGGTAGCAACTTCATTTTATTCCTCTCACAGATAAGTATCCTTCCATTCATAGTCTCTTCTCAAACCTATCAATGGAACTTTCTCCTTGACCGGTTATACATAAATTTGTCTAAAATTGATGCTCAGTTAGTAAAATCAAGGCTACTATATAAAGATAGTCGAGGAGAATTGCTTACTCCGCCTCCATGCTTAATTTGTTTCTGGCACCTCCTCCTCTTGAAAGCTCATATTCAGCCTGTCAAAATAGGTAGCAAGCGAATAAGAAAAAATCAGAAAGAGTAAAAGAAGTTCAAATCTTCTAAGAAAGCAACCAAATTATAATAGTCAAACTATTTTATGCGACTTCTTTGTACCTGGTTCTTGGCATAGTCAAATGCCTCAATCCATTTTTTCGATTCTTCAGCCGTGGTACAAGCAATCTTGAAGCAGGAAAATCTAAGTTAGTCATGACCCACTTCAAAGCACAAGACTATATGTCCATCAATAAGATAAGTGATTCAAAGAGTTAATCGTCTATATACAAAAATGGAAAGTTGGCATTTGCGAGATGCTATGGAGGACACGTCATTGGAGAACCAACAAAGTGCATCATCATTCACTGAAGGCAAGAAGGATTTTCATCCAAAAAAAAGTTATGGTTTAGATTACTGAAACAATGACAACTATGCGAGAAAGGTAACCATGATTTTAGAGCAGCATGGTAGAAGAGATTTTCCTTTTGACTATTGTAGGGGACTGGGGACAATTATCTCTCTCTGATCAGCATGGTTTAAAGATGGATTATTGCCACACTCGTGATAGTTTGAAGTTGAAAAAGTCAAAAAGAACAAAGTCAGCTTTAACCAGTAACGTAAACTTTCTAGGTGATCCAGTTGAACTCTAAAAGATAAAAATAAAGCCAACCAAAAAGGTAAAGATAAAGTCAACCAGTTACAATTTTACGAGAAAACCCATAGAAATATTAGGTCAGGTCTACCGAAGCATTTAATATCTTTTGACATATTTCAAAATTAATAATTGGGAGAAGTTTAAAAGTGGGCCAACACAAGCATACTATGACCCAAACATTTGTATAACCTGAAAGGTAATATTCAATAAGTCAACAAACTCGAAGAATTATACATAGCAACAGAATGTCATGTCATGCATGATAAAAGCTAGGATCTAGCAATCCTTGTCAATTGGATTGTGTGAAATGAAACAAACTTACTTCTCCTTTCTTGGTCTCATCCAATCGACTGTAAAACTGTATAGTGTAGTATTCCTACAAATTGTTAACAGAAAAAAAGAACACTGTCAATCACATGATTGAGCTTCACTATTGATTAACCATACAAACATTTGATTATCCGGTCGAGCTGCAAGCCAAGTGATTCAACTAAATCAAATAGTTTACACAAACAAACACCAGAAAGTGGGGGAAAAAGAGCCACATTGTACTGCCTGAGAGCAAAGTTTTGAAGGAAAAAAATTGTGAATAATAAATATGAACGTAAAAAATGATAGTAACTAACACAGGTTTACCTCATTGCCAACTTTTCGAACCCCTGTCTCCTCCACCATTAGTGTGGGTCCTATGATACCCTTCCTAATAGGTTTCTGGACGAGGAAACATGTTAGCAACCATAAAAAACAATTAAGTAATTGTTTCTTCGTTCACATTGGCAAGAGCGATCAATGAAGAAATGCAAGAACATGCTTTAAAAAACACATATAATAGTTTATTCCAAGGACTCTCTTTCAGTTGTACTGTCAAAGGCCCCAAAGTTTAGTTAAGAGGCCATTTTAGAAAGCCAAATTTCATAACCATGTAACGGCAAGTTAAACTCTATAAGAAACTGCAATCATTTGATACATTAGGTGCATCCTGTTTAATGTTATTTACAGTTTTAATCAGCTTCCTACAAATTTCAAACTCCAATGCATTTGTCTTTCTAAGAATTGCAAATACCTAAATCAGTTTCAACCTTCAATAAGAAATATATCAAAATTTCGCCGTATTTGATCCTTAAAAACGGAATAAGAACAAAATATTCAGACGGATACATAATCACAGTCTGCAATAAACTGAAACCAAATAAGGAAAAGGAAAATGACGTTACGTACAGAGCCGGGGTTTTCTTGAGGATCTCTTCTATACATCTCAACGTATTTTCCTCTTATATAGAGGAATCGATGATGGCAATACTCATGGCCGATCGAGTTGACTCCTACATGGTACACCCACCCCGAAAATACCAAAAGCGCCTTCTCGTCCTCGCCGTAGCTCATGCTGCGTCTATACCTATGTTTACTGCCGCTACGGTTAAAGCTGTTGTCACGGCTAAGTTCCGACTCGGTTCCTCCCTCGCCTGATCCCGCCTTCGAATCCATTTCTAAATTTCCTGTTCCAATTACAAATTCAAATTATCGTAGATCGATTAGATTCATAGGCTATCCCCCAAGAATTATAAAAAGGAATTTGATTATGATTTGACTGTGAGTGGTTGGGCGGGAAGGAAGGAATATTTTCGTTTTAGCCCATTTATTTTTTCCATTTATAGACATTGGGAATGTGGGGTCCATTTTAACGGTTATTTTATTGGGGGTCAATTCTTCTTCTAACAAGAACAAAAAGAAAATAAGAAGTTCCAAAGTGGTCAACGTAGCCAAGAAAATTCGGAACCTCTCTCTCGAACGTTGGGTCACATGAGAAACGATCTTGGCATACCGTTGATTTTCTTTAACGTGGCGATATCTGTTGGCGACGTTTTTTTTATAAGCATAATTTATTATCCAAAGAAGAAGTACATCAACAATATGTCTCAAATGGGAGTATAAACACTATTTACAACAAAAATGTTAATTTATATCCCAATAATTACAAAGATTAATGTTAACTCTGTCAATTCTATTAAAATTCCTGTCATTAAATTTGATTCGAACAAAGTCTTTTATGATCTTTAGAACTTGATCAGACGATCTTGACTCTCCTGTGAATATTCTTCTGTTCCTTTTTTCCCATATCGAATAGATAAAAGTAGTCCATGCTAATTTAAATATGGTGATAAGCAGGGATTTACCCTTCCATTCCATAGCAGCCCAATCAATCCTTGTTTCCCAAGTGTTGTGCATGTTACTCAATAAAGAAATACTCAAGATAGAATTCCACAATGAAGTAGCATATGAGCAGTTAACAAACAGATGATTTCTTGTTTCAAGAGACTCGTTACATAAAATACATAACTCATCAGAAATAATCCCCATTCTAGCAAGCCTATCCCGTGTTGAAAGTCTGTTAAGTATGACCATCCATGAAATAATACTGAGCTTAGGAATATGGAGTGGAAACCAGATAATTCTGTGCCAAGGAACCTTAGTTTTGTGAACTCTCAGTTCCTCCCATAAATCTATTGTCTTCGATATACCATAATTAAGAAAGGGAAGGGCTTCACTCCTTAATCTAATAAGTTTCTTGAAACACCAGCTATAAGATGAACATTCACTAATGTCAGTGAAGTTACTGCTTTTAATAACATAGCAGTGGATCCATGCAACCCAAATATATCCCTGACCATCAAGTAATTTCCGAATAAAATGAACCATGCAAGTTTTGTTCCAAAAGCTAATATCTTTTAAACCTAGTTCACCTTCAGATTTGGGACATCATATTTTATCCCAACTGATCCTTGCACCTGATGCTGCCTTATCAGAACATTTCCAAAGAAACCTAGAGCAGAGTTGATCAAGTCGTTTAACAACTTTCTGGGGAAGGATAAATTGCCTACACTTGAAGTTAACAACACTGTATAAAATTGTTTTAATAAGCTCTAGTCTTCATGCATAGCTCAAGAATTTCCCAGTCCAATGATGAAGCCTATGCTTAATGTTGTCAATAAGTGGCAAACAATATTTTTTAGTTAACTTCCTAGTAACAAGAGGAACACCAAGATATCTAACATGTAAGAAACCTTGCTTGAACCCAGTAGCATATTTAATAAGTTCCAGATTTCTAGAAGAGCCAGAATAATACAATTTTGTCTTGCTAACATTTAGCTTAAGACCAGACAAATCATAAAAATGATTAAGCACAGTCATGACTCCAAATATAGATTCCATATTGTCTTTGCTTAAAATTAAAAGGTCATCCGCGAAAGATAAATGGGTAATGCCAATTTTTTTACATTTAGGATGGTACCAAAATATTTCTCTAGCAGCAACAATGTTGAGTAATTTTGAAAGAATATTCATTGTTATCACAAATAAAATTGGTGATAATGGATCTCCTTGTCTAATACATCTCTGACCTTTAAAATATCCTATCAAACTTCCATTAAAGGATATGGAGTATCTAGCTTTTCTAAAACAAGCTTCAGTCCACTTTAAGAAGGTGATTGGCAGTCCTATTGCTTGAAGAACAGTAGATAAGAAATCCCAATGGAGAGAGTCAAAGGCTTTTTGAAGGTCAATCTTAAGAGCACATCTTGGAGAAATAATTTTCCTACCATAGCCTTTCACCAATTCTTGTGCAAGTAAGGTGTTATCAATAATGAACCTTCCCTTCACAAAAGTTGTTTGGTTAAGGGATATAAGATTTGGCAGCACAACAGTTAATCGTTTGACAAGAATTTTTGTGATAGTTTTGTACACCTCAGAACAACAAGAGATAGGTTTATAATCCTTGATTTTGCTGGGGGTTTTAATTTTTGGAATTAAGGCTATTATAGTGGAGTTGAAAGTTGGAGTAATGTGAGACTCTTGGAAGAAAAATTTGACAGCATTAGTAACATCTTCACCAATTAGTAACATCTTCACCAACCATAAACCATGATTTCTTGAAAAACAGTGGGGTATAACCATCAGGGCCAGAGGCTTTGATTAAATCAAGACTTTTTGATCTCTTCATTTGTGACAGTTTTGATAAGGTCAGAAGCAGCTTCATTAGGTAAGTTGAAGTTCAGAAGGCTCTTTAGGTAAGCATGTTCAGAGAAAAGAACCTTAGGATAAGAAGAACCTAGTTGAAGTTTAAAAAAATCAATGATTTCAGAAGTCAAATCATCATAAGACTCTAGCCTTTTACCTTCATTGTTAACAAGATTTCTGTGTAACACCCTCAACCCGTACCCGATCTGGATACGAGTCTGAGGTGTCACATTAACTTTTCAAACTTTGACTATTGACGAAAAATCAAGGAAATTTAAAACTTTCATTAAAATAACATTATTACTTTACACAAGTTAACCAAAACAAGACAAAACTGATCAGAGCATTTGTAACAGACACTTTTCTTACATGCTAACACTATACACGACAAAAGACATACTTTATCCGTTACTTCTGATCTGATCTTCTAGCAGTGCTGCTGTTCTTGCCACCCTATTTCTGCTCTTCCTAATTCTTGGTACCTACGTGTAAATCACTTACACGCTAAGTCATAGACTTAGTGAGGCATATAAATATAATAATAATGCATTCAGTATGAATACGAACATGCAATCTATCCATTCAATCCTGTCGTATACAATTCAATGTAAATAATAATAATATGGTAACATATAACTATAACAATGTAATTACATTTGATAACCTTTTATAGGCCCATGTACATTTTTTAGAACTCAATGTATTCGAGTACATTGAGGTTGTGCACTATGCTATCACCACAACTCGTATGGGTCCCACTAGGGGCTATAAAATTTTGTCCCGAATGACCTATGTACTGTATTTGTTCCGAATGACCACTCCTTAAGAACCATATACATATTCCAGTGGATCAAATTTGTCTCAAAAGACACTGTAAATGTTTCAAATGATACATATATGTCCCGAAGGACCACGTAGAACCCTCGACTCTTGGCATGCCAACTATACCTATAGCTCTCATATCGTATATCATGGGCATTATTCTTATATTTCATATGTTCATGTATTCATGTCATTTCTCTTGTGATCATATAACTCATATCACTTACCATGTCACATGTGCATTTAAATCTATTCACATATATCATTTATCAAATCATATGAACATATATACTTTATGCATGTATCATAATAATTATCATGTATGCATGTTCATAACTATTGTGATATGAAAATCAACATAGGAATTAGACTTATCACAAGTCTTATTCCATTGTACCATACTTCTAATATGTACTTACCTTAGCCTTGCTTTGACTCGATTCTAATCCTTCGATTGTTTTGGAATAAGATTACACTCTAAATCTACATAGTAATACATTGATACTTATCAACATACGAATTGATATATTTCAAACTATTAATTCTTAGGCTAAAAGAAAGCTATTTCCATTTCTTATTGAAGGTATGCATCGATGCACTACCCCATGTATCGATGCATCCCTTGACAGGTGCATCGATGCACTACCCATGCATCGGTGCATAAATCCTATTCGATGTTTGTATTTTAAACATGTGCATCGATGCACTCCTTATGCATCGATGCATTAATGGCATTTGATGTTCATTAATTTAAATGAGTACATCGATGCACCTTCAACAAATTCTGGGATTTTTTTCTTGATGCATAGGTACACTTTGAATGTGCACCGATGCACTCTGCCCAGAATTCATATCTTGAACCCGAAAACTCATCCATTTCAGCTTAAATCTTTCATGTTTCATCCCCTTTTATATTCTTAACTCCAGTATACATACTTAAACCAATCTATACTCATTTATTTCATCTTAAACCTCTGAATCCTATCCTCTTTGTGAATTCCAATAATTATACCAACTTTGCAACATGATTTAATTCAACTTCTAACCCTTAATATGTCTTAACTAGATTGATGACAAGTCAAATTTAACTTCTAATTCTATATATGAACTATATTCTAAAATTTCATTCAAGAACCTCTAATCTTTAATCTCTTATAACTCCATCATCTTTTGATTTTAAGATAACCTAAGCTTTCCTTAAGCTTAGTTATCATCTAATAATCAAAACCCAATCTTAAATTTAACAAGAAACTCAATAATCAGAAAACTCACATTTGTTTTGCTTTACACGTACAAGAAAGAAAGAAAGAAGAAGAGAACTCTGAAAGCCTGTGGTGTTCTCTCCTTTTCAACCCACGTGTACTCATCTATATCCTTTCTTTAACTAATTTTCCTTACAAATGACTCTTTTGCCCTTCTATTCCTTATTCTTTTCAATTCAATCCTAAACAATCATTTATATATATATCTTTATACTATTCATTCATTATATTTTAATCACCAAAATCTGAAACTTTCCAATTTAGTCACTAACCCGGTATTGAGGATGTTACACTAATAGTATCTCTGTAACATCCTCAATACTGGGTTAGTGACCAAATTGTAAAGTTTTAAAAATTGGTGATTAAAGTAGGATAATTGAATAGTTCAATGATTTATTAGAAATATGATGAAGGTTATTTAATAATTATTAAAGGAAATAAAGGGTAAAATGGTCATTTGACCATAAAGATTTTTATTTTTCTTT